CATCGATTACATTCTTCCAGTTGTGCTGCTATTCTCACTATCCTTTTCCAAATTATTCTATCACCATTATCTTCAACTCACTGCCCCCAGGCTTCCCATCAAACCTTTTGAGTTGCTGTTCTCAATTTGATCTCACATAGATAATCCTTCTTTTTTTTTTTTTTGTATCTTAGGTGAACGTTTACAGAACAAATAGTTTCTCATTAAACAGTTAGTACATGTATTGCCCTATGACAATGGTTAATAACCCCACGACATGTCAACCACTGTCCCTTCTCAACCTCGGGTTTCCTATGACCAGCTTTCTTGTCCCCTCCTGCCTTCTAGTCCTTGTCCCTAGACTGCTGTGCCTCATTAGTCCCATTTTGTTTTATAGGGCTGTCCAACCCCCAGCTGAACGGTGAACCTTGGGAGTGACTTCACCACTGAGCTAAAAGGGTGTCCAGGGGCCATACTCTCGGGGTTTCTCCAGTCTGTCAGGCCAATAAATCTGGTCTTTTTTTGTGAGTTAGAATTTTGTTCTACATTCTTCTCCAGCTCTGTCCAGGACCCTCTGTTGTGATCCCAGTCAGTGCAGTCAGTGGTGGTAGCCAGGCACCATCTAGCTGTACTGGACTCAGTCTGGTGGAGGCTGTGTTATCTGTGGTCCATTAGTCCTTTGGACCAATCTTTTCCTTGTATCCTGTTCTCTTCATTCTCCCTTGGACCAGCTTATTTTTAATGCACAGCACTCATACTAGTTTATCTGAAAATGATTACTTCTAGGATACTGTGAGCACTGCTGGAGGACAAAGGCAGGCAGAAGAGAGATGAATGTGACTCAGTCCCTACTTTGGATAAACTTGTCATCTGGCCACTGATAAGCCATGATCAGGGCCTGAAAGACCAGATGCCAAAAGAGCGTGACAAGAGTGTAAAGCAGGGAGTGGTTAAGGTTCTCAAAGCTTCCTGGACATTTCCTTCTTCTGGGAGTATCTACGCCCACAGGTAGGGATTGTCAGCACAACAGAGCAGTCCCTGGGTTACTAATGAGACCGTTCCAAAGTCTGTCTTTAAGTCGAATTTGTAGGTAAGTCAAACAGGTACATACGGTTCTTATTTAGCATCAGTCAAATGTTTGTCTTAGTATATGGTATATATTTTACCTTTCTATGCATATAAAGGAGCCCTGGTGGCCCAGTGGTTAAAAGCTCAGCTGCTAACCAAAAGGTCAGCAATTTAAATCCACCAGCTGCTCCTTGGAAACTCTATGGAGCAGTTCTATTCTGTCCTATAGGGTCACTACGAGTTAGAATCAACTCGATGGCAACGGGTTTTTGGTTATGCATACAAAACACTTAAACACTTCATGAGCATTACAAAGTAGTGTGTGTATTTGTTCTGATGAACCACTGTATTTAACTCAAATGTCTAATACAATAGGCTTTATAGCAGTTCTTGCTTAAGTATGGAGTTAAGCCGGATGTTCTTAACCCAAGGACTAACTGTATTGTCAAAGAGGGCAATATAGCACTGACTTTGCTCACAAAGCCTGGTGAACACAGGTGTTATTTGCAAAAGACGTGAACCGGGCAGAGACTGCACCTCTTTAGCAAGTCTGTGACTCATTTTACATATCCCACTGTTGCAAAGGAATATATCTGCTTATTTCTCAAGCTATTCCAAGTAACTCTCTTCTTCTGAATCTGACAGTTACTGAATCTTTGAAATAATCACCTTTGCAGGAGGCATAAAGAGGCTGTTACAGTGAAAGCTGAGTGACATCTGGATATTATTCAGGAAGCCAGTGACATACTCTACCATCAAGAAAAGCTGCTGACAGATGTAGATATACAGGAAGCATAAAGATATATTATTGAATAAAGATGTGACTGACAAAAGGCTTGTGATGTAAAGACGTCCCCTTTTGAGCTGGGACAATAATAATCTGTTGACTGACTTGCACTGCTAGACCAGCAGAGCCCCCAAGATGGGTCTGGGTCCTTCCATCTCTTAGCCAAATGGCCATATACATACTCAAAATTCAGACTGGGTATCATCTCCACTGAGTCTTCTGCTGCCCCCACTCTTCCCTAGACAAGATCATTGCTTTGTCTGTGCTCCTACAGTTTTCTATAAGCTCCTGTCACACTGAATTGCAGTTATTTGCTCAAGGGTTGGTCTCCCTGGTTAGACTCACTGCTTGAGGACAGGAACCCTGTTTTAGTCATCTTGTATCCCCAGTGCCTAAATGCTGCTCCTGGAACACAGCTGGGCTTTAACGTCTGTTAAATGGATGATAGAAAAACTAATGACTAATTTTTTTTTTCTACTCATTGGCTGTGGATCCCATAAGAAACAGTTGGAGGGGTCCCAAAGACGAGGCAGGCTATGGTTCTGGACCCTGCAAGAGAGAAGACGGTGAGGTGCGGGGGGTGCGTGTAGTCATTCTCCTCTCTCCCTTCCTCCCAGAAATAGAGGACTCCCGAGGCCAGAAGAATTACTGATTTTGAGACAGCCCCTACCCAGGGACATAAGTCTTTCAGCATCCAAGCAGTGGACAGCGTCACAGCCACTCTGGAAATGTTCTTACCACCCTCAACCCCGGCTGGGTTCAGCCACAAACATTAGACACCAAAAACAAGCAACAACAAACAACAATAAAACCAGTCCTTAGAGAGTAGTTCACTTTTTATGTATTCATAACTCAACTCCCATCCACTCCTTAACTATGTTTTAATCTGGCTTCTTTTGCCCTCCATTTTTCCACTGAAACTGGTTTTGTTAAGTTGGCCTAACTGCCAAACGCAATGGCAATGAATCTGTTCTTATTTTATTGATTTATCTGTTGCATTAGGCACTGTTACTATCCTTCTCGCATCAAGCTTTCCCCTTTCTTGGTTTCCATGACCCACTCCCTCCTCATTCTCCTGCCTCCCTTGGATTATTCCTTTCTCTCATTCAAGGAGTCTTCTTTCATTAGTCCCTTAAATATTACGGGTCCCTGGTACTCTATCCTTGGTTGTCTTCTGTGCTCATATTCATTCTTTAGAAGATTTCAGTAACCACCCACATCCTCTTTTGCTACTGTGGGGTTTACAATGAACTTTACCCAAAGAATTTGATCTTTGTCCTTGGTTCCTGAGAGATAACCTCTAAAACCTTGGCATTTCCCTAGTGATTAGAGTCTTTGTTATCCATGAGGGCTCCAGACCATACTGGAGGGTTTATGTTAATGAAGTGACTTATGTTGGGTGGAGGCTGACCATGACAGAAAGGCCCACCATGTGATATCAGTCCAACCTCGGAGGAGGGAAGCTGAAGGCTGAGTTTAACAATGTGGGCAATGATTCAATCAATCATGCCTATGTAGTAAGACCCCAATAAAAGCTCTGGACATTGAATCTCCATGAACTTCCTGGCTGGTGCACAGAGGAGGGTAGTGAATTCTTTGGGACACAAAAGTTCTATGTTGGAAACCCTCCCAGACTTCGTTTTATGCATCTCTTCATTTGTATCCTCTGATAATTTGTATTCACCTCAATTTATGTGATCACTGATATCAGAATGCTCTTTTCACAACACAAATGTGATCATGTTTCTCCTCTGCTTATAACTCTCAGTGGCTACCGCCTCCTTCCAAAATGAAGTCCAGTGATACACAAATCCATGCATGGTCTGGTCCCAACCTCTGTTTCCAGGCACCTCTTCTTCTGCCTGGCCCCTGCAATCCTGTACCCTAGTTTGGCCACCACA